CATATCCAGTTTGTGTGCTTTTGGCGTTCCAAAACTAAGATATATTAGAATATTATTTAGTGACTGTAAGGTTGATGTTAGTCTGGTGTGAAAGATTTCCTGAAAAAAGAGATTTTCTTTTTATTATTCCTTCACGTTCCCAGTGAAGCATAGGGCTTCAAACTAGTGGCTTGAAGCTTGTATAGCAGCGGTGCTTATTTTTACAGGATGGGGTTGCTAGCCTCATGCCCAACCTCCCTTCTTTACCAGTCTTATTACTGGCTTAGCGTGGTAGAGGAGTGCGCCGGTCGGGAATCGAACCCCAGACCACATGTATGGTTGGCGGGCATTCTACCGTTGTGCCACCGGTGCACCCTTGAAAAGAAAAAGATATTTACGTATTTTAAAACACTAAAGTGCTCTTATTTCCGTTCACTTTTCTACCCAACAACCTGTCATCTAAAGTTTTACAAAAAGATGAAATAAGAGTTTCCCTTCCATGTGTTGACGTGATAACTTATTTCAACAATTTGCGGTCACTAGTTAATTCAAGTGAACAACATGAACATTTTCAGTGTTTCAATGAGAAAAATTTTTTTTACAATAAAGCTAACTAAGATACATGCAACTAGTCATAATTAGACTTCAATTAGTGAAATTTAATTTGGTAAAATAATAAGCATGTACTTTTGTCACTGACTTTGATTATTAACAGCAACTGCAATTTTTGTATTCATTTGCTTGTAAAGTCAGTATTTGTCATACTACTATTTACATATAGAAATAAGTGGAATGGTAGAATGTTCCTTCCTCTTCAGCAATTCATACATACAAAGGTACATACGCACAAACAAATAAGACGTATTGATGTAAGTAGTATCTACTTGTCCCGAACAGTTGAAACGGATAAAACATTCAATAAATCAGAGCAAAAAGTCTTTATCTACTTGTTAAAAAATATTTAACCCATATCAGACTTTGGTTGTATTCACATGTCAATTGATTCATTGTTGTAGTGGATTTTGTTTTCTTCAACAGCATTCTCTTGTTATTTTACTTTCTTCAGTCAATTGTATGTTTTGTCAGTCCCGTTGTTTTCGCTTCCTAGTTAGAGAGTTAGCAAGTCCATTTTATCACCCTCTTTTTTGTTCATTTCCCAGACAGCAAAATAAAAAGTGACATCAAAAAAAATAATAATTTGTGTTGGTCTTACAGTTCTTTTTATAATCATTACAACAGTTGAGAAAATTTCAAATAAACCAACATTCTAATTCACTAGCATTATAAACTGAAATTTCTTATGATCTATTCCAGAGTGATGAAAAGATGAAATCTGATTCTTTATGGAAATATATTTCATGAATTTTAAATAACATACGAAAGGCAATTCATGGCGTGTAGCTTTACAATTCAGTCCGTACATGATTTGCTTTTGTTGGAGGACTGGTGTTCACCAACAGTTCTGTGGCTATTGACGGTATTTCAAGACGAGTTGCAGATGGTGGTCGACTCAGTGGTACTTTGCTTCTCCTCTTTGGCTGTATATTACAAATGTATTTCTTTCAAATCATTCACCTTTCCACATCTAAAAATGCATTATAAGAGTCAAGGAAGACGTTATATTCAGTGTTTGATGCTATAAACATAGTATCATTCTGGTTGGACCGCTTAGCTTAAAGACAACTTTAGAACACAGACAGGAGTTTTATCCGTTATCATTGATTATCTCGTTTCAGCTAATGTAACAACAATAATCGTATTCCATGTGATAATAAGGACGGCTTCACCTTCATTTTTGTGTTTCTTAGTGTTGGTTCTGCATTCATATATAGCATGCATTATTCAAATAGGTACCTGGAAAATACATTATTCCATGACCAGCTGTTCTCATTGAAAATAAAGTAGGCAGTGGAATTTAGATATCATCGAGTGACGCAAAAGTAAAGTGTCGGGCGAAGGTATATATATAGTGACCATTGTAATGAATAATTTACTATATGACTTTTGTTTGTTTGTGCGTCGGTGGCACAGTGGTTAGGACACTCGCCGACCATGCACATGGTCCGGGGTTCGAGCCCACGTCGACGCACACCTGATATCTGTGGTCGGCCTGCAAAATTTGGGCTACCGATATGCACGCTGACAATTCAACACTTGTCCCAAAAATACGGTGTGGAATCAAGCTGTAATCAAAAATAAAAAAAAATAAAATAAAAATATATGCTACTACTGACATTTCAAAGCTAAATACTTTTTGCAAAGGTCAATAAGTATTTCATTAACATTATACAAGTTAAATAGGTGGTTCAGAAAAATCATATAAGTGTATCTACTAATTGCATTTTCGAAGCGCATAGTTAATTTTGTATGCAACAGTGTCCAACCTACAGCAGCAGTACAATGACTACCTACGGATTGAAAAATTCCATTATAATATCTATGCGAAAATAATAAATAAGGATATTCAGTCAGAATTCTTCATTTACAAATATTCATCCTTACGCCAAATGACTAAGCCACACTAACTATAGGTAAACGAAAGGATCTTATCTTATTTCAGCATTAGTTGTCTAATTAATGAAATGTGGACTAATAAATCAATACTCTTTCTACAAAAGTTCACATCACACAAAACATAACGTTTGATGGTATAAGACATACACCTATCAGCTCGGATACACTAGAACTAATATGTACGAATTCCAGTGTACTAATCGTCCTATACATTTGGATAGTTTAACAATACTTCTCATACTATCAACTAGAAGTTGTGGACATCCACGTGCTCACTTACGCTGACTTACACATGGAAACACATATCCATCAGATTCATTTAGCTATGAGATAAGAAGAGATATAAAGACATCTTTTCAATCAATGGCAGACACGAAAATTTGGAATCCACTTTAAATACAAATTTGTAATAGTACAGTTTCTCTTAGTGATATTCTGAAGAAGTACAGCCATAATTATTTTACTGGAATTACTTACATGAAGTAACAGTCAGCCAACAAATACATTTAGATACTCATTAATGTAGTAAGAAGACCGTACTCACCTTCTCTTAGAGCAGAGGAAATAATCATAGTGATGGAACTGATCAGTACATTGATAACTATACTTGCTGACTGATATCTCATTGGACGTTGGGAAAGACACAAAATACTCTTTTAGCTTTGATTAAATAACACCAGATATGGCCCAAAAACAATATCTGTTCCCTCCCATGAGGATAAGTAAGTTGTGCAGCATTGTACACACTATACAGGCATGCTTCTGGAAGGTGCTCATTAAAAATACAAAGCCTTTAAGTCTCTAAGAATTTCATTACCTGTTAATACTATTATACTGACAGCGTGAAATATTTAGTGGAATAGTGTCTTCCACAAACAACCAGTTACAGTCAGGGTGATTGGAAGAGACGATTTCATCAACCCTAGTGAAATACAAAAGCTCACATCCCAATGAGGTTATCGCCGAAGGTATTGTCTAGATTAACAGTAAGAGCTTCGCAATCAATCCATCCGGCTGTGTCTCGGTGGCACAGTGGTTAGGACACTCGCCGACCATGCACATGGTCCGGGTTCGAGCCCACGCCGACGCACACCTGATATCTATGGTCGGCCTGCGAATTTTGGGCTACCGATATCCACGCTGAAAATTCCACACTTGTACCAAAAATGCGGTGTGGAGTCAAGCTGTAATCAAAAACAAAAAAATAAATAAAAGTAATACAAAAACATCAGAGTGTTGTCGAAGTAGGATTTAGTTAAGAAAAAGTCAGAAATAAGAGGAAATGAGCAAATCAAGATTTCAAGTGAATTCATGAAATCAACGGTTATCCACCAGAACGTTTATCCTGCTACTGGGAGAACACATGACAAAAGGGATCTTTGTGGATGGAGATTCTAAGTTTAGAATCACAATTCGTTCTACCATTTCAGGTCTTATCGTCATAATTCATTTTCCGTATTCTTTACTTTGTTTGTCATGACCGCTGAGTGCATTATTTTCGCCTCTCTAAAGATGTAAACATTAAATGCATCTGTCTTCTGTTCGTAAAATCTGTTTGTGTGATGTGTGAGAAAAACATGTTACCATACATAAAGGACGTCTCAGAAATCACTGCAAGACTCTTCAAACTTTTAGGAATTGATGTCGCACATAAACCAACAAAATCACTTCACTCGGCTCTGTGTCAACCAAAAGACTCAACAGCGAAACAAGATAAAACCAACATCATCTACAAAATAAATTGCAACGGCTGCGAAAAACACTACATTGGCCAAATTGGACGCTCTCTTCGCCTTCGCATATATGAACACAAACTAGCCACCAAAAAACATGATATCCACTCTCTCATATGGCCGCATACAGACAACCACGGACATCGATTCGACTGCGACAACGGTCAGATATTAGGATGAAGAAACACCAAGAACGCCAGAGAATTTTTTGAAAGCTTCGCATTCCAGTGAGTCAGCAGTAAACAGACACATTCATATAGATGAAATTTACCGATCCATTAGAAGAAAAACATATGCACAAAAAGTCAAACTTCGGATCAAGGAAACAACTAATACCAATACAGGTAGATTGGAGAGTGTGAAGACAGACAAGAGCAACCAATCACGTTTAATGTCACCAGGAGATATGAATAATAAACTCATGGAGAAATTTAAAAGCTAGCTTCAAATTGAAGTATGCGCTGAAGGTGTTGCCCAGTAGGGCAATGAAAGCTCGTTGAACAGAACCACATAAAAAACAAAAGTTATTAAAAATGGTAACTTTATCAATTGCTAACTATTTCATGCTTCTGAAAAAGTTTATCTCCCTCTTAATACTCTCACTGTTTCCCAATGAGAGTAAATACGCTCAACTTTTTCATCAGAAAAGAAATGAATATTTTTAGATATCGGTATATTTATTTTTACCAGCAAGTTTAGATTTTTAAAATACATCGTTTCGTTTGTATATGAATATATACAATTTTATAAAGTTTTCTTTATGAGGAAGCAATATTATCTGGATTTTCCTGTTATGTCAGGAGTTGCACCACACCGAATTAATTCGCATAAAATATTTGCTATATTACGACAGTCATCTGAAACACATAAAAAAAGAATTTCGTGAAATAACTGCATAGAAAATATAAGTTTCCATTCTGCGTATTAACCACTCATCAGCTGTAAATCAGGACAGAATCTGGTAAGTAAATATAGAATCTCGTAATTTTTGTTTATCATACCTATGGACTTTAAAGCCATAGACAAGCGTGTTATTGGGTCTAGTGATCAGCGTGTTATTAACATATTATTTTGCAGTAGAAGTCACTTATGAAACAAAACGTTGCTAGTTTCGCTTTCAGAGGCAAGTGCGACTTACATGAATTGATTCGTTTCCATGACGCCACTACCCTATATATCACTGAAGTTGAAACTAAGTTGTATGTTGAATACTTTGGCCTGAGTATTTCCTCTGATCTTTCCTGGTCTTCCCACGTGTTAGTTTCTAGAAATATATTTCGGTTGGCGTTCCATGTAAGGAAGGTAAGACAATATGGTACCGTTCATTCCCGACTTGAATCCTACCTATTCCTCTAGGTTATCTAAGAAAGGCTTTGTTTCACTGAGAAGGGCACTAAAAGCTTTTCAGTAGGGCAGGTGAAATATCACTAAACCAACTGTTGTAAACAGACAAATAAACTCGTCCAAAAAATTAACGAATATTATCTTGTCGGAGCCTGAGAATCCTCTTTATACAGAACTCTCTCCTTGAATCTTATCAGATAGGACTAGAAGTAATTGTAGAAGACATTGTGATCGGGCGACTAAGTGTATACAAAATCAACAATAACTTATTTGGGAAACATTTTACATGATAGGGATAAGCGTAAGGCATGACACTACTGACTTACTGAGGAACACTAAGTTAACGGCCCTTTCTATTCTTTCTTTCATTATTGTATTGTTCTTAATATTTTCACTTTAATTCTAATTTTATACTCATATTCTTATATAAACAATATTATCATTGTAAACACCCTGTTGTAATAATTATTACCCCTGTATTATGTAATAGGGGAAATTATACACATTATTGTACAAACGCTGGAAATTTCATATTCGTATCAAAATTACTGTTTGAAATAAAGCTATGATTATATTCATGAAACAACAGTACTACTCCTTTACAACTGAAAAAGTACCATGCAACACTTTATTAACGATGAGATTGACAAAATTATACAGGTCAGAGTATCAAAAGTGATCTTGAACACGTAAGTTAACTAAATCTATTTTCATTGAATTTCTTTACATGTGCTTTCATTTATAAAAGAATGTAGTCATGAATATAGTTAGAGTGAAGTAAAGCAAGATCACCTCCATTTCTTTAAAATAAGAGCATCCATATTTTATTAACCGGAATATACAAAATGGATGCATTAGTATGCAGATAATATTTCCCTTCATACCACACTAAGATAGTAGAAAAATAAGACAGTAAGAGAATAAGAGATACTAAATTAAACTAAAAGGCATGGAAAAAATATGTTTAGTTTAGTTCACTATATACAATCACAATATCTGATAGGTAGGCAACTTAAACAACACATTAAAACTGGAAGCAAAAGGAGGAGAAAAGTCGAAGACGATGACACGAAAGTAGGACAAACATTAACACAACAAAGTTCAAGAGATTACTGCGATCAGCCCCAGCTTTTAATGACAAAACATGATAAGGAACCTTACCGTTCATTAGCATATGCGTATTGATATGTATTAGAAATCAGCTGCAATCCACCTGTAACTATCAAACAATTACATTACGACTAATCCAAGCTACTAACTAATATGCTATCTCGGTAAACATCGAGAATAACTTTGAAGGATGTATATGCCAAATACAATTAATCGAATATGTTACTTGATTATGACACTAATTCATAAAATTCAGTCTCTACAGCAAGCTTTCTTATTAAGTATCAGTGTCTTGACTTTGTAATCAACAAAACTCCATGAACCTAGCGATGAACAAAGTGGTGTATTACTAATGCAAGTTTACACGATCCACACTTAGTCGACAGGCGTTAACTAAATTTTGATACTTGACAAAATAAGCTGTTAGTTAGGCATAAATTACTGTAGAATTCCACTTCTTAAAATCCACATCTAATAGTCGATTAGACTTTATATCAGCGTTAGTCCACAAAACAAGAATAATATAATAGCAGTATAATATCAAGGAAATACCTCAATTATAGTTACAATAAACAGCGCATTCATAACGATATCATGAATAACAAGAGTAGAAGATAATCAACCCTAACGAAACGTGATACTTAATAGTGGAAATGAAACGAAATAATTTTCATTTAACAAGTAGAACAGTAACAACATACAATGGAACAGGCTAACGTTATGAAACACAATTTTGATGAAAAGATTATAGAAACAACGGTGATACACCTAACCAACTATGACTTCAGTGAATGCTTTTTCTAACAAACTACTACTGATGTCTTGCTGCTGCTTTCTTTGTGCTTAACTCATACTACTAGTTAATGTAAAGTAGTATACGTTTACTTCGTTGAATATCTTACTATACCTTTCCACAAAATTAAACCTATTTTAATATACTAACATTCTATTTTGTCTACAGGAATCCTTTTCATGTGGATAAACTTTGTCTGCTGTATATTTTTAAGTTCCACTTCCTCTTGAACTTTGTTTATTCTAACCCCTCTCCCTTTCTCTGTAAATTCGTGAATTTCTCCTATTTTTGTTATCGTGAATCGTTTTTGAGATAGGTTTGTTGTTACTACTTTGATGCAACTTGACAGTCTTTTTGGATTGTATTTAGCCAAGACACCAAAACATGCAATGTTTGTTGTTTATTATTCTTATGCGTTAAAATAGTACTGTACTTCAGCGAAAAAAAAACTGTTTTCGGCGAATTCCTTCTCACTGAACCATTTGTTTTCCCTTCTGATTATTGCTTGGGTGGGGCTAACCGTAGATTGTGCGTACAACTCAGTCGTTTGGCGTATTTCATCTGAAGTTGAGGTGATTCGGATTTATTCGCATAACCTAAAAAGTCACCGCCTCGCAGGATGTTCGGATTACCCAGACAAAGTCTACACCGAACTTCTACAATCTACCGACTAACATCTATTCACTAACATTATCTATGCAAACAGGAAGACTCTGAAAAAAATCAATAGAATAGCAGTAATCATAATGGTTATATTATAACATACCAATGCCACTATGATGTCGACCAATGTGTTTCAAGTTCAGTGTTGATAGCATAGACATCATACTGCTCGGAAAGTGACCCATCACATCACAATATACCTAAGGATATGAGAAAATTAATTTTGAAGCAAAAATTTGACTGACACAGAACTTTATGGATAATTTCTAATTTTAACAACGCTGATAGGTCTTATGTCCATTCTGAATATTGTATAAAATATATTCTTGCTATTTACACACTCATCTATCTGAAAACAGTTCAGCAATAAATGTCACGTTAGACTTGCTGAGTTTTATTACTGTTTACACCTGCGTAAATGATTTTCCATAGTTCACCAGTGCCAAGTTTCGATTCAAATTTATATGTGAGAATAATGCAGAGACGAAAGATAAATTAGTGTTCTACAGTTCAGTTCATGTCAACCAATCTACCTACAACCGTGGTGTGTACTTCTGACAAGAATTTGTGAATGGTCTGTTAGTGATGTCTTCTCAAAGAATCCTGAATTGCGGAGCAACGAATCAAATTCCAAAGAAGATAAATGAAAAGCCTTGTAAAAACAACAATAAAAAATGCATGAAAGAAGACAACAAAAGCCAAATAAGAATAACTTTCGCTAACGGGAATCGAAATGTAGGGATTTTGTACTTTGACGAGTGAACAGCCCTGCTACCCAATACCGTTGTATTTACCAGCGATACAACCACTCTTTCTTACAGGTAACTTTTTATTGTGATCACACACAGCACTCAAAATGAGCATTTAAAAAGAGTATCTAATCTTCTAAACATTTAGACTATTGATGTTACGAATTTCCTGGAATAATTTCGGTGCTGAGTCACATTGAATCATTATAAGATAACTTAAAATAATCCCCAGTGAGTTTAGAAGAGAATAACGAGGTTTTTCTGAGGATTTAATTATAACGAAAGTTGAAAAGTGTCGCTAACTGCTTGGTCTACGCGAACTTAGGTAAGATATATATACTGGAAGTAGCAAAGTTCAAACAGTGTATCCAAAGAATCAGTCGACAAACAGCATTCTCAACTTCATCATCATCCAATAAAAAACGTTTTTAAAGCAACAAACGATTGATAACCACAGAAATTATACAATGCGAAGGAAAATTTTGGTATAATTTTTTGTATGAGCTAAGAGTATTCACGACACAGCAATTAATCTCTCATACGACGTAAATAATGTCAAAATTGTAAAGAATAACAGCCATGCAGAATACGCTACTGATAAAAGAGTAATATAACTACCCACACCAACTGAATAGCCAAGTATATATATATATATATATATATATATATATATATATATCGGATGTCATTTACACAAGTATTATTTTATGGAATAAAAGACCAATAGTGTAGTGAGATAGTGCGCTAACCTTTTTCAAATTAATCCACTGTTTAAAGTAGTCCGGAACAGCAATACCTAAATGTTTACACTGAGATACTAACCTATATGAAAAACAAAACAAATGTAACGTTAATAAGTACGTTAGGGAAAATAATAATACCCTTTTATTCATAAGTAAAAACAGTTTTTGTTCAGCGTTTTGTCAAACCCTTTTCTTTACCTTGGTCATAATAATGTTCTTTCTAGTTTTTATTTTATTTTACCACTTGAATTCTTTCCACTTCACTTCACATCTTCATTCTTATCGTAATCGTACTCCTAATTTTCAAAATTTTTAGACAACACTTGACATTTTTGTTATAAAACAATCTTTAATATTTTTGTAATTTATCCACTTCAACTCTACCCTTTACAACTTTTATCATATATATACGTACATTGACTGAGCAATTATTTAGTGCCACTTAATAACCTTTTTCTGTAATATAAATACGACTGTACAGCTTGAAAATGAAGTCGTTGAAAAGAAATTTCTTCGCTGAACAAAAACTGTGTTTTTACTTATAAAAATAATAATAAGCAAAACATATCAACGTGTTTACTAACTAGGATGTTGATTTGCTTAAAATGGATATCCAGAGATTACATATAACAACACTTACCCTAATAGATTCATTTTTGCAAGTTAAATAAGACGATCTCTTGGTATTCAAATATTTCGAAGGTTCAAATTGAATTAATCATCAGCAAAATTTCTAAATATCGAACAAAAACCTCTTGGAACTGCCTTCCACCTACTGATAAAAATCAAGTCTTTTATTTCAGAAATGTATGAGAGTCTCCATGATGACATTTATAGGCCTGTTTAACATCCAAGTCATCCAACCTCTTGCTTAACAATTATAATTCCATTCATCCTTCCAATTTTATCGTATAGTAAGATTAAAGTACCAGGTCTAGGCGATAAAATGAAAAGAATTAGATAATTACAACCATTGGAGCTGCCAATATATAGCCCTTCCTTACAAGTCTCCTACAATCGTATGTGAATAAAGTAAGATGTGATGTATAGAAAAGTTCTGTTGTCAGTTCTAGAGACAGGCGACCTGAGAAGTAGCTTAGTGTCTTTATTATCTCGTAATGTCTGGCTATTAACTTCATACTACTTACTATCAAAATAGTAAGTGGTGGCGTTTCCTCAAATATTTTTCACAAGTCATATAACAAAACCATTAGTATCCAGTCTGATACTAGACATCCATCCCGATAATAGTCTCCAAAACAAAACAATGAAAAGAAATCCAACTTTCATGTGAGGTACCTTCAACCTCAAAACAGTGCTAAAGAGGTTTGCAAAAACTTTAGGAATTTGAACAGTGATCAGCGATGCTGCGCAAATAGGAATTGGCTGCAAAAATTTCTACCGTATGTTCCTTTAACACTAATGTTAGTTATGTGCTGAAATGTATCCCAAATCAGTCTACTTATTTAAAGACCAGTTAAACATATAAGACGAATTTCCATAGATTTAGTACTTCTTTATTTTAGTGTATTTGAATAGCGGCAATCAAACCAAAACACGGCTTCATTGCTCAATGAAATCTACAACAGTTAGTTTAAACCAGCCACGTAAGAAGGTATAAGACTTCCTGATGGTTCGGATCCTCGAGACGGTCAAAACCAATGAAGACTGGAGACAAGTGGTGATATGGCTCAAAATCGTTCTCAATGGCTGGCGCTGATGCATCCACTCCTCGTGACTTGTAATTTCCAATGAAACTAAATCGTTCTTCGTTATTACTATTCCTTTGTCTCACACCTATGTTCACTGTCTCTGTTATTCATTTCTTCTACTTTCTTCTCTTGGTTTGTATGCTACAAGGAGGGAGTGTGGTGACTTGAAGTGCAGCACATCAGTGAGAATTTCTTTGTCGAAAACAGACAGGCAGACAGTGTATTTGAATATGCTTATCAGGAGTGAGAAATGAAGGCTTTTTATCAAATCAAAATAGTTGGTATCTTTTAGATTACAAAATCAACAAGTATAGATGCCAGATTATGAAAATATATATGCACATAACAATTGAGGCTACCGGGCAAACAAACTCAAATCTCTGAACACTGAACTTTTCTCCTCTCTTTTTCTCTTTTAATTAAACCTAATTAATTTTTTGGCAATACAATCCAACGAAGGAACAACTTTTGATTATAGACAGACAGAAGTCTTCGTATGTTAAACACAAAGTAGAATGAATGGCGGATGTCAATAAACGAACTATTAGTGTATTTCTCTTAAATAGTGGTGACGATAAACACCAATACACCAGAATGCTTGAAAGTTTCTGATGATACATAATTGTAGTCAAGTATTTAGCGCTAGTGAACTACAACATGAGTTCAGTTAGCTATTACTAAGTAACAATGTAGATGTAGTCCGTCAGAAATTCAACATCAAAATGTCAATGAGGAATTTCAGTTGCCAAACTCTATCAGAAAAGTAGATTTAACACAGGAGACTCTTCAGGTCTAATCTAAGTTGCTCTTGATCAGCCAACTACTGTATTTATTTGCAGAATTGATGATCCATAATGCAATGATTCTGTACCAGTATGCAGCTACGCTATAGTAACAACTTATTATTATTTCCTTTAATTCCTAGGGGAACATAGGGCTTCAGCGGCACGTCTCCGTTGCCTTGTGTTTTCTGCCAACGTTTTCACCCCGCTCCAAGTCTGCCCACATACTTAGATCTCCTTTCCACATGACCTCCTCCAAGTCACCCTTGGACGACCAACTCACCGCTTCCCTTTCGGGTTCCATTCGAGCAATGGCTTGTCTAGTGATGTCACTTGATGGTTTCCTCAGCGTATGGCCAGCCAATCCATCTCTATTTCTTCCTGCCTATTTGTTTCACAATCGGTTCCTGCTGTGTTGGTTCGCTCATTGCCAGAGATCCCACCCTGTCGCTGATCATTTCTGGCCAACCGTCTGATGTTGAGTATTGAGCGAAGACAACTTTTGATGAAGGTCTGTAGTTTATTTGAGATGCTCCTTATGACGCGCAAAGAATCTGATCAGTATAGTAAGTAGCACTGACTTCACATTGGAGTTGAAAATCCTGATCTTAATTTTGATGGTGAGTGTTGTCGATCTCCACACAGACTTGAGAGTAATGAAAGCTTGTCTTGCTTTTCCGATTCTGGCTTTGATATCCTCGTCAATTACGTGCGTCTGTAGTGTAAACGATGCTCCCCAGGTCAGTAGGTAAAAAAGGTTGTTTCTTTCATATTTCCCCCATTTATGCTGGCTGATTGTTGTCTGTTGTTGTTGTTGCTGTTGGTGTTGGCCAAGAATCTTCATCACCTCTGTTTTATCTATGTTCACCTGAAGTCCTATCTTTGACGCTAAAGCTGTTGTCCAGAAGGACGACGAAAGCTCCGCAACTAAACCAACCAGCTCAGAGAACACTATTAATTGCAAAACTTTGAATTTCTATTTTTCTGACTGACAATAACCTCTGACCTTTATTGTCAACTGATACTGTACATAAACACCCACCCCCAAATAACTGTGCAGCTATGGAAAACATCTTTTTGCTAACCTATATAACTCCGGAAAACATATTTGAGTAATATATATATGAGGCTACCCATTTCGTCTTAACAGATCAAACTAACCAGTCGATCAGTGTGACAGTCTGAAACTAAAGTGTCACAAATGAACTAATAATGTAAATAAAATCAACTGAAAACCTGTTTTGCCCTCAAATTATTAGAGGAATTTTGAAATATTTTCGTGATCAATTTACAAATTGTAAGCAGTAGTTTAGTTTTTCTCTTGCAGCGATTAACTAAGTATTATTACAATTTTCAATAGTATTTCGATTAATTGACCAGTATGTAGACCAATCGATACTGAATGATCGATTTTTATGTTTCAATTCGTCCTGGACAAGGTTAATTAACACTGAGGCAGTTGATGAGTGCATAATGCACTGATGAAAAAAAAACTTAAATTTCTACGTGACCATTGAAAAATACGATAAAATTAATGACACAAATATTCGAATAATAAACCTGTTTATCTGCATAAATTTTCTGCCTAATATCATGATCCGTAAATGAAGTCATTCACCTTACGAGTGATCTGTGTTATACAAAATACATATCAGAAATTATTCGAAAATAGACTTTTGCAGAAAAAGTGTTGGTAAAAGTTACAATTTATGAGCCTTTAGTCACGTCCCAGTGGCTTAATCGTCTACGAGCTCATCTCGTAGTTAGAAGCTCCTGGGTTCAAACCCCGATGGGTGCGTACTGATGAAAAGTACCAAACTAGGACGAAACACCTGTTCAGTATTCCCTGTAGGTTTTCCAATGGTTCTCTAACCGGTGTCAGATCATGATGAAGTTCTGTAACCAATAAAACAAAATCCATACAAAACCAATACTCGAGAACAAGGACAAAATGAGAAATAACCATAGATGACAAATCAGCGCTACTCAACTTATTGGATAAACTGAACTGTTTAGAAATTTTCCTTACAGGAGGTTTATGCAAAAGAATACAAAATGTCACTATCTAGTAAGAATAGGATAAAGAAACAAGATCATTATTCAATTTGAGCAGAAAAAAACAAACACTAGTGCAGAATGACATGGATCCATTTTATTTCACTGATCCTCATCAGCTGCACACAACCTACAATCTTTAATAAATAATAGTCAGAGTAAAATTTGGCATATTTTCGTCTATTAATAAGAGTGCCGTGATGAGATAAAACATTAGGATGACAAGTTAGCTGAAGTATATATACATGTATATATTTAACGGGTTGATTTGTAGGGATTTGTCTTGTTTTACAATTATGACCACAGATTGGTATCAATTAGGAAACCATTGAAAACCACGGAGTACTGGACAGCTGCTGTTTCATCCTAGTTTGGGAATCATCGGCAGTGCGCACACACTGGGGTCTAAACCCAGGACCTTCCGGTTACAAGGCAAATTAGTATACCATTCAGCCGCTGGGACCCGATTCAATGGCCCATGAATCCTAACTTCTACCAATTCGTGATTTAGTGCGACCACCAACCAATGTCATCGGTGGTAAATCCATCCTCACACTTGACATTGGTTGATAGTCACGCTAAATCACGATTTGGTAGAAGTTAGAATTCATGGACAGTTGAACCGGGTCCCAGTGACTGAATGGTATACTAATTTGCCTTGTAACCGGAAGGTCCTGGGTTCGGACCCTAGTGTGTGCGCACTACATATACATAAATAAAATGTATTAAAAAGGAATTCTTCTGTGGAACATTATTTAAATCACATTATAAACCAAGTAAATAATGTCATTCTCGAACAGCATGAAGATTACATCTACGCCTAAAAGTGATGTAGACTGAAATAACCATCGCATGCAAGTTCACTGAGATTTTAAATCAGATGAAAATTGACTTCATTATTAGACAGAAAACCAGTAGTTCAGCTAAGAGTAACATTGTTTATAAGTCCATTCACATTAAACGTCTGAGAAGTTAACCATTTATAGTGAGTTTCACTTATGAAACAAAGAAATTAATACCAATCGCATTTATAAAAATGATGTAAGAGTAAGACTCCATCATCAGATTCCAACCATCAAGTGTGATGTAGCTACTATATAAAGACTAAATTTATTGTTGAGAAAACTAGTTACATTAACTCAAATGCTGCGCAAAACAAACGTATTACATAAACATTTATCGTATGTCAGTATATCACAGATGTTCAAGTCAAAACTGATACACTTGATAGACTGCTTACAATAATAATGAAAAGGAAGAGAATCGAATAGGAAAATTAAATAAAGTAGAACATAAGCTAATGGTAACATCTCATCTCAACAGATAGATTATCTTCAACTCTACACACTTAAAGTCTTGAAAATACCAACTACTCATTACCAAGTACATCGAATTTTCATTAGTTGATATGCCCATATACTTATTCTACAAAATATGTTGCTTTTCTTCACTTCCGGCTAGATTGTGATTTGACTATCGATCTTATAAACACTTGCGATTGTTTCCGCATGCAAAAAACTCAATGCAGATGAAAACACAGTCACTTTTGCTGTACTGTAAGGACAAACACCTATTACCAGATTAATACAATCTTCCAGATTTCATGTAGGTTACCACTTAAGTACATAACAAAAGTCAACAGACCAAATACTATTGGCATACTATTTAGAATTCAAGAGAAATTATAGTTTTCTCTCAAAATACCACCAAATGAGACAATTTTAATCAGTTCAATATTCCCAGATAGCACCTTAAACAGCTAAATAAAAGGTATCATGTTACAAAGTAAAACTCAGCTTACTCAAACTAGTTGATAGTCGGTTATATAAATTTACCTTGTCTAACGGTTCAACGATTGGTAATGCAAACAGTCTCTTTGTCTGCCTGTCTGTTTTCGGCATAGAAATTCTCACTGATGTGCTGCACTTCAAGTCACCACACTCCCTCCTTGTAGCACACAAACCAAGAGAAGAAAGTAGAAGAAATGAATAACAGAGACAGTAAACAGAGGTGTGAGACAAAGGAATAGTAATAACGAAGAACGATATAGTTTCATTGGAAATCATAAGTCTCAAGGAGTGGATGCATCGGCGCCAACCATTGAGAAACATTTTGAGTCATATCACCAATTGTCTGCAGTCTTCATTGGTTTTTTTACTGTCCCGGGGACCCCAACCGGTCAGGATGTCTACACCTTCCTACGTGGCTGGCTTAAACTAACTGGTGTGGATTTCATTGACTGGTGACATGTTTCGGTTTGACCGCCGCTACCTCTTTTCCAGCCTGGCCCTGTGTCAGCTAGCATTGCCCGTCGAGGAAGGCGATGACTAGGCATGCGTAACACATGTCCTAACCATCTCAGTCGATATAGCTTCACAACCTCGTCGATTGATTTCCCCTCCTTACCTAGCACTCGATTTACGCCTAACCTCAGTATTGCTCACCTTATTACACCAGCTAATACGGGAGATAGAACGAAGGCACCTATGATCAAAGACAGGCTTTTCATGTCTTCCACTCTCAGTTGCCATGTCTCATAGCCATCAAAGAGGATGGAGCGGACTGATGAGCAGTACACACGCCGTCTGTTCCACAGCCATCCGGACATCACGCCTACGCCAGAGACGGCGTAAACTGACATATGCGAGACTAGCCCTCTGTATCCTTACTCAGCTGAGATTTCGTCAGAGGTCAACCCGTTGGCACTGGCTGATGGTACTTCCCAGATAAGTGAAGCGGTCAACGTGCTCTACCACTTCACTCCCTATTTCTAAACTACGAGTCAGTGTGGTCCAGTCCTATAACATCAGCTGACATTTGGTTGGAGCGAATCACATGCCAAACAATCCTAGATTCCAGCTCAAGGTGTTCAGAAGACCGTGTCTGCATTTTGTCAGCGTCCTCGCCTAGAAGGACTATACTCTCTGCATATTCTAAGTCAACGGGATTATTCCCTGATAGTAACAAGTTAATTCCTGAGTCTCCGAAGTCAGTTAGGGTTAGGTTCATTAGTACATCTACGATGAAACTGGATAGAAATGGGGATAGTGGGCATCCCTGACGGACACCACTAGTCGTCACCACTTCAGATGACAACTCGCCGTAAGCCCTCACCTGGCTGACTGCATGAGTTCGAGTAGAGTGAGTGGCTTGATCAGTGCAATGTATTTCCTCAGAATTCCCTTCACGACCAAGCATCGCCATAGTACCCCTAGGTCGACAGAATCGAATTCCGCCTTTAGGTCAAGAAACATAATGATTGTTGGACGCCGGTATGAGTGCCTATGTTCTAGAATCTGTCGAAGAGTGAAGATATGATCAATACACCCTCTTCCTGGTCTAAAGCATGCCGCCTGGTTCTCTTGGGTTTGTTCCTCCCGAGCACCACTTAGTACTGTACGCAATATTATTGACCCTAGGACTTTAGATACTATATTTGTCAAGCTAATCCCTCTGTGATTATCACAGGAAGACTTATCTCCCTTCTTGTATATGGGGACAATCAGTGAGTTAGACCAACCCGACAGGACTTCCGCTAATTCCCAGACGCTCCTTAGTACCTTATTCAGCGCAGACAGTAAACTGTAGTACGAGTTATAAAGAAAGGAAATATTGCTGAATAACGATACTGATGGAAAGACAGCATTGAATAATACTTAGCACATAAAGAAAATGCTCTCAGAAAAATCCTTAAGACGAATAGAAGTTTGTCCAAATGAAAGTTTAAAATACCGTTAAATTAGTCATACAAAAAAGCAGTGGAATTCTAAGTATTGCAATGAAGTAATTGTGATAGTAGATTGATACCATATATATATTATAAGTTGATTCAAAAATATAGACTATAGTTGGTGCTATTTAAAATATCAAAGAAGATGATGTGCAGCTTTTTATAGGAATGTATAGAGAGATATTTCTAAGTAAATATACATATGTTCCTGTGAATAAGGAACTTTTTTTCCTTCACGTTCCAAGTGGAACATAGGACCTCAAAGCTAGTGGCTTGAAGTTTCTGTAGCAGTGTTTATTTTACAGGATGGGGTTGCTAGCCTCATGTCCAACCTTTCCCCTTTAACAGCATTATTTCTGGCTTAGCGAGGTAAAGGAGTGGGTCGGCCGGAGATCGAACCCCGGACTATGTGCATGGTCGGCAAGCGTCCTAAACGCTATGCCACCGACGCACAAATATACATATAACTAACAATTTTACCTTAAATTATTTTATTTGACAGAAGGATGGGCATAAATGGCGGCAAAATTTGATTAAATGATGGTATTTGTTTCCAAATACTCCAGAGAATCAATAAACTCAATTGGATGATTTCTTCAATTTAAAAATATATTGCTAGGATTACATACACAAACAGGGATATTAGCTCAAGAACGGTTTTTGTAATGGATTCAAACAACTCATGGAAACATTAAATCTTCATTTAGTGACAGCATAAAAAATAACGGTTTTTATAATTACGAAACATAATGTGTAGAAGTTATAAAACAAAATAGTCCTAAATAATACAGACCAACTCACATTGTTTTCAGGTCCCAGTCACCACACGTGACAAAAGCAAATTTATTCAGACTAGTCTTCAGATTGTTTTCGTCCAGAAAGGCGTCAAACATCTATGTTAAAAATAGGAAAGGAAAACAGACAGCTAACAAGCAGAATACCAATAAACACTGGGGAGTAATATGTTTCGTAATCAACAAAGTCGTTGTCTTTGTCTTTGGACTGAAATAATTTCTAATATGAAAGACGCAAAAGTTACAGTAAATAAAAAACTGAATTCTTTGTACCACTAGCAGATATAAAAGATACATTTGTCTGTATTTCAATAAACTACTTGTTGAGAATGACACAATGACAACTGTCAATAACCTGGAGCACATATTTTATCACTGAAAAGTGTAGGAATCTATCTAATATGGCATAGTCAAAGGTAATTCCCAGAGAACAATGCAACTGTGTTTTCCACAGCTCTGGAGGGTATTAAATTTCCTCTTTTCAGGAAGCTTTGTCGAGATTGCACACCGCGTTACACAAAATCACAACTACTGAGTATCTGTGGGTTATAGTAGAAAGTGCCAAGAAAACAATGGATCCACATCTACAAAATACATGATAATGGCCAGTATATATCAGTTAGCTTTCCTTCGTGATAAAATTGATTAACATCCGGCAAATACATAATATGCTTCGCTGTATTTAAAAAATCTCCATTAAGTCACAAAAAAGAAAAGGTGTTCAACGAAGAGTCTCTTTTTTACAGAGATATTTCTGAGTAGTAGTAGTAGTAAAAGACAACATTTTTATAAAATCAATATAAATGGGAGTTTTCTAGAAATATCACACTCTGTAATGAGTGGAGAATCCAAAAATTATCCAAAAATCCAAAAAGTCCCTACAAACCAATACTGGAAAATCAATGAGGTGACCACCAGTGACTGGCCCTATTCAGGTAAGTAGTTGTCTGGGGTTCTAGTGGGAAGTCGTGACCAGTAGGGTACAGTAGGTCAGGTGTGAGGATAAATACTCGCTGAAGACATTGGCTAGCGGTCGCGCTACGTCGTGAATTCGTAGAAGTTGGTATTCGTAGGCCGCTGGACTAGATCCCAGTGGCCTAATCGTCTACGATCTCACCTTAAAACCAGAAGGTCCTGAGTCCGAATCCCGATGGGTGAGTACTGATAAAGAGTCCCAGACTAGGAAAAAACGTCTGCCCGGTACTTCCTGTCAGTTTTCCAATGGTTCTCCAACCGATGTCAGCTCATGATGAAGTCCTGTAACCAATCAATCGAATCCCAACAAACCAATAGTTGAAAAAATCACATTATTTGAGGTTTGATTAAGGCTTTCTCAAGGAACTGTGGAGGACAAAGAAAATGGTGTTAGCGTTCATTGTTCTCAAAGTAATAATGTACGATCGTAATTCAAACTAAGTACAATTTGCCAAGTTTTGTCAGAACTTTGTCAATAAAAAATATAAATTTACTAAAAAGAAACAACTAAACACCGGCATACGGTTTTAAGTAATTCACACATTTCATTGAATTACAATGATTTATAATGACGAAAATCGAATGTTACCTTTAATACGGTAGGCAAATCTGACTGATCTTCTACCATAGCCTGTATAATTCCAGTTAGCTAATGACAAAGAGAAATGCAAAAGGATTCAGATTAAAGCAGGCATATTTGTATTGTGTATTTTTTAAAGAAATAAAATATTGATCACAGTTTGTTATCTCCTATTCACTTGTTGCACATCTTCACTCAGTTATGTGTGCAGACGACTTTATCTACGCAGGAAATTGTTTTGATGAAATAACACAAAGTATGCCTCCATCACCAGGATAGCAATTTAAAAAGGATGTCAAACAAAAATACGAGACAAAATAAAAATCAGCATGATGATGATGATGATAACAGCGACTTCAACTAGTCGCAACGCCTAACACAACAACAATATGGAGAAACCAATAGCCAAAAGACAACAAAATATAATTGCCACAACAATGTAAGGAAACATAACATAACATAACATAACATAAGCTTTATTCCAAATCAGTACTTGTGATACAGAATGGAATTCTCAGCATTTTACTACAATATTGCATCCAGTTTTTTACATTAACAATAAATAAAGTTCTACATAGATTAAAGTTATCTCAACAACATATTAGTATGTGGGTAGCAAAGCCAAAATTTAAACAGTGTTTGAAGGTGTTAGAGAAGTAGAAACTACTAGCATATTTACTGGCGTAAGCGATAGCAAAATGGTCGAGATATACAGAGTGTGAAAGAACGAACAAGAAAGTTTTAAGTAGAGTTTGCAAGGAAGAGAGAAACAAAACAGCACATAACAAAAATAAAATACAGAATGAAGAGCGAGAAAACGTTGTACCTATAAATGATGTGAGTTGGAAAGACGAGATCCATTGGTTCTACTGACTATTTAATAAGTTAAAGGTTTCATGCCTGATGCATTCTTTATCGCACAGAACACGGGCTAGGTAGGGTATGGATGAGTTTTTGTACTTACTAGTGCGGGCATATAGTTTCCTATATAGGCTTCTTGTTTTCCCTGAAGAGATACATGGGGAGAGTTGTGAATGTAGAGGGTGTTGTGAGTCAGATAAAATGGATTTCGCCCATTTTTCACATGAGTCCATATGCCTGTCCACCAGAATATTAACTAGCTGGCTAAGTGGCAAGCTGCTTACCCTGCTGACAACCTTTAACATCCTACGTAATAAGGTATAGTCTTTCTTCAATAGCCCAGGAAAGACTAAGGGGGAGCAATAGAGAATAATAGGCAGAATCCGGGAGTTAACAAATTGTAGGAGTAAGGGTTGGGTTACACCAGAATGTCTTAACTTCTTGATGTAGAAGGTAAGACGGTATATTTTCTTGGAAATCGTCAAGATATGAGACGACCAGGAAAGATCAGAGGATAAAGTGACGCCTAGGTATTTAATTTCCGACTTGGTTTCTATTTCACTGCCATCTATGTTGCACATCTCGTGAGTGCTAACCATTCTCCTAGTTGATATCGCTGTTTGATTTCAGTCCAAACGTGTTCAGCATTACAAATTATTGTGTAAATGAAGTCAAGATTTAGCGATAATAACTGCAAATGTACCTATTGCGGACATTTTCATAGTGTCAGAACTCAGTAAACCACTACCGTATACACTCTAACTATAGTACCGAAAGTTGATCAATAAAAAAGACCTTATAAATCTAAGCTAGACATGTAAACTTGCTGAACGAAATATGTTGAAGACAGTAAATCACTCCAGTTCTGAATAATTTTATAAAATCAAAGTCAGTCCGTCGACACTTTATAAAACTCGGGAGAATGCTATAAATTCAATAACTTTGATGCTTCTAGTAGTATCCAATTTTTGTAACTTGGTACATGAAAAAAGTGCAACAAAATGGAAAATAACATAAATGTATACACACTCAACAACGAGTGATTTATAAATTTTCATAACCAGCGTAGATAATGACGTAAATGGATTAGGCGTAAATCTATTTTTTGCAGAAACAATGTTCAAATTATCGGACAAAATAAACTAGCCTTAAAACACTTTGACGAGATATATATGTCATCGGAAATATTAACAAAGATAAGTTGAAAATTCAATATGTTGATCCCAACTGTACTCTTCACAACACTATTTATTTTTTCTACAGCATTTTAAAAGTTCGCTGTCTTAAAGCAGCCTACAGATCTATTTACATTAGGAAATTATTTTCATTAACAGAAATGAATAAGAGTACCGTGAACCAACTACATATTATGCAATGTCATGTAACAAAATCTTTAGCGAAAGAGCCGAACGATATTCACTGCATGTTATGGGCATATATATATATTTTTTACTCAAGTATTCTACTGCTTACAATAATTTTCTTAAAATTTTATTCCTTTATGTTTTCAGTGGAACATAGGGCTTCAAGCTAAGATTTTGAAGTTTCGGTAGCAGTGATGTCTATGTTTACGGGATGAGGTCGCCGACCTCACGCCCAACCTTACACGGCTTAACGGGGTTTAGCAGTGCGCCGGACCACGTGCGGAGTGGTTGGCGAGCATTCTACCATTGGACCACATATATTACAATTGAATCACATAACTACAAAAAAATCAAGCATTAATTATGAAAAAACATTCATTACAAAAAGTCAAAATTTCACTCACCTCTGTACAGAAATCGGTCAGCTCTGGATTAACAGTTGGTCGAACATACTGGTGAAAAACAGCTTCAGTTTGAAATGTAGATGAATTCACCATAAGGACTGGGAACTCTATTATTTCCTAATAGTAAGATGAAAAATTCATTTCCTTATTATACAATTTAAAGTAAACTTAAAAGTTCGGACAGCAATCCCATATCAATTAGCTGGGTGTCAACAATGCACATATGACGAAAGGATTACAATTCATTACTACGACTAATCGACTAATCCACTTGATAACTATCTCTCTCAACAGACTTGTATATAGTCAGAAGCTACCAGATAAGCTTACTTATTATTAGACAAAGTCCAAAATTACGAACTAGCATCATCCATACTTAGTTCTGTTATGCACAGAAAACAATTTTAAGGTGAAGTTTTATCAATACACTGTCTTACAACTGATGCATACGTAATTCATTATTCTAAGGTAATGCAGGTTACTTTCAAAAATATAACAAGACAGATTCTGGTAATTTGAGTTAAATAAACGTTTGCATAACTGATTAAAGGCCACACCTAATGCTTACAGGTTGACAAACATACACCATTTATATTTGTTGATAGTGAAATGTGCAGACAAGTGAATTACTATGCCATATTCTAAGAAAACTTAAACACAAAATTTATTGACCTTTAACAAATCAGTCTCGAGATAACTTATGTGATCAAATTACCTGCAACTTATTTAGACATACCTACTTAATAAACAAACACAAATAAATCATAGTCAAAGTTTAGTATACACGTGTTTATTTCTCACTGATAAGCTGAATGCATAGATATTTTTGTGGTAATTTCTAAAAAATTTTCTCACAACGTTCACACACCTAACGTGTTCGTGAGACGATGAGTTATACGGGTTTCTAATGTGGTATGCTGATGCACGCGATATCCTCATTCATTATTCTACTTCGGTTGTTTGTTCCCATTTAGATGATGATACTGAATTTTACCTTTGTCGATAACAAATGCTTGAGTTCCCTCAATAAATATATAAACTGATTATAACATTGCGAGTTTACACAAAATACTACTACCACAACTACTACTGCCTGTCTACTTATTTATCTACCAGACTGTCTAAAATTCGGTCAATTTGATCATACAACATTACTATAACAATCTTTTTTTATTCTGTGGCGATCCTGCTTTCTGATAGCGTTATTAGAAGACGGAGACTGTCTGAAAAATGTGATGTATTAGCGCTATACATTTCGAACAATCTGATCACACATTTACTTGTCAAGTCAATATATATAGAAAGGTTAAATTAAACAAAGTGAGGGAAAACGGAATTAAGAATAATTAACACAAACGTTTGGTAATCCAATCAAATAAGGATTACCAAGGTAGGTTAAGAGTAATGACAAACTGTTTTTGAATACACAAGGGGGGCTTAAGTCTATGAATAGCTATAGCCTCAGCGTATTTCAATAAACGCCCTTGACTGTTTTTATAGATGACCTTAAAGGCTGAGTTAACATCAATCTTATGGTTCATCTCGATTAGATGTTTAGCTATAGACGAATTTGGTAGTCTGCCACCTGCATCTATTAGCTTGTCACAGTTCATCTGTTTTTCTAACCATTTTGGGATATGCTCTCCTGCTTTCAAAGCTGTAGTTGGCATATTCTTTATTTTCCAAATTTAGCACCGACTTAGCTGCACTAGAATCCCCTATGAAATTTTGTTCGTTTGCAAGCGTTGGTCTACACGGATTTGTTTAGCTTCAAGCTTGATTAGCACACTGAAATCATTTATTTCCCGATACGAATCAGTCTTATATCTCCCAATGTAATTTCAAAAGTATATGTATTCGTGTATGTAGAGTATTCAGCTGACGAGTTCTACCGAAATTTGATGAATTCATTAAATCCTGCTTTATTAACCTTTATTGCTTGTTTTAAATTCGTATCGGGAAATAAATGTTTTCAATTCTTGAAGAAGCGTCTCCCAAAAAGCACTATCAATGCACTAAATGATCTAGTGAAATTGAAGTGCAGGATTGCTAAACACTCTGCACGACGAGATTTTTTGAAAGAATGTATCCAGAATAATATTTATCCTCGAACATTTTACAAATCCTTGCGTAAAGATCATCTGAGACCTACACGAGCGAATCTTTACCGTCTTGCTGAATCACATTTGTCTTCTGAAACAGATGAAATCAGTAATTTATGCCTATTGTCAAGCAAACTGATCAATGTGCAAAATGACTTAAACTTCGTATGTTATATTAAATTCACTAAATATCTGCATGCCACATCAAAAAAGACAAAAGAATCAGAAGTAAAGAAACTGAAGAAGTCACTTTATCCGGAACCGCCAAATGAAATTTTCCCAGTGGATATATCTAATTATGTTCATAATTTATCTGATGTTTCCCTATCAAAAGAACAAGCAGAAATTCTGTCATTGGGATTCAAATTCTGTGTTCCCATGAAGAAGATAAAGCAAATCGATATCGAATGCCAATTCGAAAATCTTTATGATCAACTTATGGGGCTACATGCCACGTCCAGTGACAGCGAAAGCTGGTTGAAAGCAAAGATGGTTGATATCGCTCATCAATTTCGAGTCATGCCGACCAATCAAAAGTCGCATATCACCAAAGAACACTGGCGATCTTTAAACAAGCTTCGAAAAGACAAAAATCTTGTTATCCTACAAGCTGATAAAGGACAAAGTGTAGTGCTAATGAACAAGATAGATTATCTCGAAAAAATGCATCAAATTCTCGCCGATGAATCTAAATTCAAATTGGATAACCATGCAAAAGACCAAACGTTATCAACCGAAAGGAAAATTGTGCAGCATCTACGACAACTCTTCAAAAATAAATACATAGACGAAAACACATATAGAAATATCAAACCGATTGGGTCACAAATCCCAAAACTATACGGACGCGTAAAAATACACAAACCAGGAGCGCCGTTAAGACCCATACTCTCTATGATAAACTCGCCGTACCACAGACTAGCACAGTGGTTATGTGAACTGTTGCAGCCATTGTTGAAACGTTTCGGAACACATGTAGTCTCTGATTCATTTCAATTTGTCAATCAAATTAAAGATTTCAATGTATCCGATAAGCATTTGGTCTCTTTCGATGTTACCTCCCTTTTCACAAATGTGCCAGTTGTTGAGACTATCGACTTCATATGTAAAGAAGCTGAAGACATACCCATTCCAACATCGGAATTGAGGAAATTACTACTTTTATGTACTAAAAATGTCCAATTCCAATTCAACGGGCGTCTGTTCCGTCAAGTTGATGGTGTCGCAATGGGAAGCCCTTTGGGACCACTTTTCGCCGACTTATTCTTGTCACGCCTAGAAACCGGTGCTTTACAGCAGCACATACAAGAAACAAATGTATACCTAAGATATGTTGATGACATTTTTATTGTCTGTGAAAGCAGATCAAAAGCGGAAGACATGTTGATAAAATTCAATTCATGCCATCCAAATCTCAATTTCACAGTAGAACACGAGGAAAACGATACTATGAAATTCCTAGACGTTTTTCTAGCCAAAATGAATGATGGCACAATCGAAAGATCTATATTTAGAAAGTCTTCATGGACAGGACAGTACATGCATTTCAAGAGCTTTGTCCCAATCCAGTACAAAAAGAACCTAGTCAGAACACTGTTCAATAGAGCACGGAAAATTTGTTCTGACAGTACTATTGAACAGGAAATAAAATCTCTGAAGGATATTTTATCTAAGAATGGATATCCTGAGAAGTTCATTAATAAATACTCCAAAGAAACTACCCCCCGCAAAACGATTCAAACAGTTCCAAAGAAACCTGTTTATATCAATTTACCGTTCAAAGGAGATGACGTACAAGAAGTAGTGAAACGAAGACTCGACAAAGCCATCAAGAGAACTTATTATGCTGCAAAACTTGTTATCCTTAACACCACCAAGCGAGTGCTTCAACAATCTGGGAAAGACCAGTCGCCAATCCTCGACACTTCAAACTGCATATATCAATTTGAGTGTGTTTGTGGCAGCAAATACATAGGTCGTACGGAAAGGCGATTGTCTACTCGCATGATGGAGCATTTGCCAAAATGGTTGAAAACAGCTGAGTTCAAAGTGCCAAAATCCTCAATAACAAAACATCTTGTAGATTACGGACATGATATCGACGCAGTCAAGTCATTTACCATTGTCAGCAAACAAAGAAACAAGAAGATGCTTGCAATTGCAGAGGCTTGTGCAATTCGAATTTATAAACCAGCTCTCTGTATACAAAAGGAGATGGTCGTAACTCTTAATCTACCATGGTAATACGTTTTATTCTCTACTTGTTATTATTCTACCTCTTCTTATTATTATTTTTGTTATTATTACTGCCATTATTATTATTCTTGATTCATTTAAATCTATGCTTTATCCGTAAGATTATCTTAACTCACTTCAACACTATTATTATTATTGTTATTATAACTATTACTATTGATATTAGTCTGTTTGCAATTCTCGTTATATTCCCTAATGACTAATTGTTTATCTAAGTGATGTAATTGAAGCGTAATGCAATTTATCTTAATTTTGATCTCTCATACTCTCTCTCCCCTTATCTATTTGAACATGACCTGGAAAATATTCGCACCTGTCTCTCTGCATGATTAATTCAATGTAGTTTGTTTACTTATCAGCCTTATATCTCCCAATGTAATTTCAAAAGTATATGTATTCGTGTATGTAGAGTATTCAGCTGACGAGTTCTACCGAAATTTGATGAATTCATTAAATCCTGCTTTATTAACCTTTATTGCTTGTTTTAAACACTGAAATCAGTTTGATAACCAGTGAAAACCAGGAAGTACCGGACAACCGTTTCTTCCTGGCTCGGGACTCTTCAATAATTATTTATTTATTATTTATTTAAACGCATAAAAACTTGGTACAATATGGCACCAAGAAGGATGCGCCACACAATAATAATAAAACAAAAGAAAAAAAGAAAGAAGAGAAAAATATATATAAGAAGAGAACGGATAAGGAACTTGATCTAGAAGGAAAACAGTCATGCTTAACAAGTTCAAACAGTATTTGTTAACTATCATCGGGAAGTGAATAAAGAAGGAAATTGCAACACGCTTAATAGCACGCGATAAGTTTCATTGATTGTTTGTTGCTTCATTCAATTCATTGTGTGAGGGCTGAGATACTGCCCGGGCGCCCAAACCGAAGCAGGTGGTTTTATTGAGGGGCTACCCCCGAGCCTTTGACTTGGAGTCTAATCTGCAAGGCAGCGGAGCAGCGTCAGGAGCTGCATTCCAATGGTTTCCGGTGACCCATATGGGTTCATACGGCATTTGATCCAATTGGATAATGGAGCCTATGTACCCCATGGTAACTGTTTTTAGTTTAACCGGTATCCAAACAACCTTCCTGACATGGTAGGACCTGCAGGGACAGAGTCCCAGTCAGTTTAGCATGTTGGGTCACTACGGTATTCAAGCCCGACCACCATGACAAGGTAGCAGTTATCGGCCGGGTCTTCAACAGTACGCACCTATGACCACCCCAGGGATCGAACCCAACCACTTCAGGTTACAAAACAAGCCCCTTGACCATGCAGTCACTGGGATGCACTCCAACAGCCCATGAATACTCACCTCTGTAAATTTGCGAGTTATAGCGCCAATGGCAACCAGTGTCATCTGTAAGTACTTATCCTCACACCCAACCTGCTGAACTTCACTGGTCACGACTATGCACTAAAACTGATTTCTTCTATTTTTACAACTAGACTCCTCCTGTTGGTTGATTTGTGCATGATACCCAAATGTTAGATCCTACTTAAAAAGATGTGAAAAACACATACACATATGAAAATCTGTGCTTTAATTTCTAACTACTATACGAATAATAAATTATTGAAACAAGTGAATTTTTCTATTGGAAAACATAAAAGCTTGGGTTATAGAGTGACACTATCAGTCAGTAGTGCCGTCGCTAGCACTGGTGATAAAAATGAGGAAATATGCTGGCATTACCGTTTCACTACCAGTTAACAATAATGCAAACAGTTTTCTCGGATATGAGTATGGTCTAAACGTTCTATCCGCCATCGTCTTTTGATAGTAATAAACGATCTAAGAGAGTCTATACACTATTGAATTGAATTTTTGATTTTCCCGTCGATTGATTGGACCGAAGTGCTCGGTCTCAGGTTGACATGTCGGCTTCTTGTGCAGATGCTTCGACGATGTCTGGGTATTTAATTGGTTTACAATTGGTGGATGGTGGCTAGCAGTGGAATCCAGGATGCGCATTTCGTCCTATTTGGGACTCGTCATCTGGATGTACCTGCAATCAATCGACGGGAAAATCAAAAATTCAATTCAATAATTAATATGACCCGTTGCACAAGAGGTGGCTCTCGTGGCCCAAGTGGTCTAGTGGATAACGCTTTGGCGTTTGAAACTATGGGTACTGGGTTCGAGCCTCGGTGGGAACATCATCACTCACTGAGAAATGCAGGTACATCCAGATGACGAGTCCCAAATAGGACGAAATGCGCATCCTGGATTCCACTGCTAGCCAACATCCACCAATTGTACAGAGTCTATACACATTTAATTAATGGGAAGAGAATCATATTTATTTTGTCATGACTTTTGATACTACTCGTCTACGTAAACTAAATAAAATGAAATGGGGCCCATTGCATTACATGTGAATGCCATATTTTCCATCTTTAAACTTTGGGGAATTCTCTAATATCTCTATCTTTCCTCTTATGGCATACGATAATCCTACCTGACGGATTATTTTATACAACTCTAAAGCAGTTGGTTTTCTTGCCTGGCAGAAAAATTCTTCGGGGGATAAAATCTCATTTTTCCTAATGTAAAAGAACCATAAAAACAAACGAGAATATCGACAAAGAAAAATACACACAGATGTATAGGTTTAGGTAAATCTGAACTTCGAACAGTGTGTGGTAAAAAAAATAAAGAGAATGGTGTTACAATCGATAAGCACAAACAAGAGACAGGTAAATTCAATAGAGGTTTGAGAAAATACTCAGAATTTCGAAGGCTATAATGACTGTAAGTATTCTAAGCGTCCTAATGACTAGCACGGAAACCTGTAGATGTGTAAAAGCCTCGAACCAATAGCTATGAAATTCACTTGTTTTTGTTGTGCCACACACCTAAGCGCAGAAGCACTAGCACTACCAAACCAACGTGATACGAAATATAAATTAAGTTGACATCTAACAGGTAGGTATTACATGTTATCCAAGAAAATGAAATACCCTACATCAAATCAAATGATATTATTGCTAAGATTCAAAAGTTTCTTCCGACTACGAAGTTTTTGTTGACTTTCTAATCTACTATAATAATCGTGAATAAGAAATTTACAATCTCAAATTGAAATATTCATGCGAACTTATCTCTAGCATTGATTCTTTTTTTATAAAAACAAACTGATACAGAATAATTCCAACCAACAAATGGTATAAATTACATTCACACAATTGTTTAACGGAAAATGTAAACCTTGTTTTATGAATACATAATTACTACAAGTACAATGCTTTACATTATTTTCGTAAATTCTGTTAAAAAGGTATTCAATTAAACTTGAAAATCTCGATAGTTTTTTTTCCTAAATTTAGGGAAAGAGGGGTACTGGAGGTCGTTCCACAATTGTTAACATCAAAGTCAGCTAAACAGTTTTCGGAATGAAGTCAACGCCCACCTTGATCTTTTCAAAGATCTAATGTTCTACTTAAACCTGTAAGATGACGACAACTAGTAATTACTTTTCCAAATACTCCTAAGGTGGTTGGCATAAAATTATCAAAGTAACCAGTTCATAAAAAAGTTACCCATAAAAATTCCCATGAGTTGTGTGCAGGGCAAGCAGAAGCAATAGTTTGTCGATGAAAGTTTATACAAAAAGTAAATATAAATATCGAAAGCAGGAAAACAAATTTCCAGTGGAAATAAGAGGGTCAGTTAGAATGCAGAACAGAGATGTGTGTCACGTGGAGTGTGGCAACTTGAACCGCTGCACTTCTGGGCAAAGTTCTACAGTGAAACTCAGTCAGTCAGTATGCTACACATGTTGTGTGAGAAATACAAAAATGGAACTGTCAAACCATCCATCGAACAACAATTTATTTAGACATTTCAATGCCAGAAAGAAATGAGATATTTCTTCGGCAATTAAAGGCACACATAGACAAAAACAAAATTAGGCTTACTGGAATTTCGATTTTCTTTTCTTTGTCACAGGTTGCCTCGAAATCCAAAACCATATAGTAGGCGAATTTCTGTACTTTTTTCAAATGCCCAGTAAACGCGGAATTCACGATTCTGGATGCCTGAAATGAATCAAAATCATCTTTCACATGAACTTTTATATATATATATATATATATATATATATATATATATATATATATATATATATATATATATATTCAGATGTACGCATCAGTCATAAACACAGACTTTTGCAACAACTTAACGAGTGATGTGAATGCATCACATCCGACTTTCGTCGCTCTATAACAGAACAAAGGAAAGTGACCCAATACAGAGAATAGAATTTAAAATAGTCAAGACAAAGTGACGTGAGGATACAGTCAAGTAGAAGTGTACATGAGATAATAGAGGAACGACTTGAGGCTACTGGAAGTTTTTCAGAACGATATGGCCAATCAAAAGGCCAAAGCTTACTTAATTAGACAAATTAGATCAACCAATATATGTTTTTAGATCAATATCATCACTACGTTTTATTTCACTAAGATTGCTTGCATCCTACATTTCCTCGAGCTATCAATGAACACTAAGGCGATAATAGAGATCACGGTCCTTCTAGGTGAAGACGCTGACGAAATGCAGAGTCTGCTGAACACCTTGAGCCACAATCTGAGAATGTTTAGCATGCGATTCGCTTCCATCACATGTAAGATGATGCTACAGGGTGGGACTACATTGACTCCTAACCTAAAGATAGGGAGTAAATTGGCAGACCGTGTTGACCATTTCACTTATTTCAGAAGTTGCATCAGACCCAACGGGTTGATCACTGGCGAAATCTCCGCTCGAATACAGAAGGCTCGTTTGGTATATACCGACTTCCGCCATCTCTGCCTTAGTAGACGTGATATCCAGCTGTATGTCAACCAAAGGGCGTGTGTAGTGCTCACTAGTCCGCTTCGTCCTGCTTTATGGATGTGACACATGGATATTGAAAATAGGAGATACGAAAAGGTTAGCTGTCTTTGACCATAGGTGCCTGCATTCTATCTCCTGTGTTGCGTGGCGCAATCAGATGAGCAATATTGAGGTTAGGCTTCGGTCGAGTGCTAGGTAAGTAATGGAAATCAATCAAAGAGGTTGTAAAGTTACGCCGATTGAGATGATTAGGACATGTGTTACGTATGCCTAGTCATCGCCTTCCTCAACGGGTAGTGTTAGCTGACATAGGATCAGGCTGGAAAAGAGTTGGTTGTGGTCAAACCGAAACATGGCACTAGTCAATGAAATTCACACCAGTTAGTTTAAGCCAGCAACGCCGGAAGGTGTAGACTTCCTGACTGGTTGGGATTCTCGGTATAGTAAATACTAATGGCTGGGCTGGAGATAGTTGTTGATATGGCTCAAAATTGTTTTCGATGATGGTGCAGATGCATGCACTCTTTGCAATTTATCATATACAATAGAATTCTATTGTTCTTCCACATTACTGTTTTTCGCCTCACATTTCTATTTATACACTCTGATACCTCTTCACTCACTTTTCTTGCTTTGTGTGGTACATGGAGGGAGTGCTTCACATATGTGCAAAGTTCTACGTTGAAACCAGTCAGTCAGTCAGTCAATAATTTCAGCTTACTTTCAGTAAGCAAAAACCTAGAATTTCAGCTCGTGATTTACCTCGATCTGTAATTAAACCACAGTTCAAAATAAGATAAAAGCCTAAGCACAGTGATGACGTCAATATGATCAATTAATATCGCACACAGTGATCCAGTAGACTGTATTAGATAATGTCTTGGATTTAATTTCTCGGAACTCATCATATTATGTTAACCACACCATTTTCAAATCCTTTGTTTACACTTCTACAGATCAACAGTATTTGGTTTTTATTGGTGATACAACTTTCAAATATATTAACGATAGATGTCAAATCATTTCTGTTCCGTCGAGTACGTGTTGATAAGATAAGTAAATTTCACCAATGAAAACTTTTCCACTTAATTACATTGGATTTATTAGTTTTCACTTTATCTTGTCCAGTTATACCCAGTATCAGGGAGATCATCGTAATAGCTGTACACCCATTATGTTAAGGTGTGAGTCTAGTTTATAGAGGTTAACCGCTTCTGTACCAACAACCTAACTCTCTGAGTGGGTTAGTTGTATACACATTAGACAATTCTGGTCCACCAATAACCCTAAATGTTACGATCGCTTAACAATCTGTCTTACATCGTCAGTCCTCTGAGCACCTTTGCCAGTTCACACTTGGTTTGTCCAACCTTAAGCAAGTAAGCAGTTTAATAATCCCAAACAGTTTTCATACACAAAATAGGCTGATATTTCCGTAACTGCTTTCACTTGAAAATGAGTTTAATGTAAAAAAACAGGAGCGGCAGTTTCTAAGTCCAAAATAAAAGTAAGAGCATTCCATTCCATTGTCTAGATTTCAAAAATTCTTTTTGAAATCACTTAACGTTAGAAATCAGCAGATAATATACTACTTTATCTTATAGTGCGAAATCATGTGACCGTTTACGTTCAAAGGAATGTCAAAAAGTATATACTCATACGTAATAGGTACACAGTGATTGTGATTATGATAAGTTAAAAGATGAAGTGGAATTTATTCAATAATTTTAACTCTGTTACTTATTGATGACATTCTAAGTACAATTTATGCCTCACATAACTTCTTGTCTTAGTAATTCGACAAGATTACAAGCAAAAAATTGTGCTCGAAATGTTATCAATAAATAATACCGTTGCACAGTGTGATATCTGAATAAACTATTCAATTGCAAAAATTCAATTCAATCACAATTCTTCAATTGTACACTTACATTACGACAGCAAAAACTGAATCTGAAAGCATACTTAAAATATACTCCAAGTTGTATATAAAACAGAAAAAATGAATGGCCCGATACAGGCAGTTACCTGGGATTCTACTGGGAAGCCGTGACCAGTAGGGTACAGCAGATCGAAGGTAAGGATAATTATTCATCGAGGACATTGTTAAGTGGTCATCAGTTAGCAGAGGCTAGAATTCACGGGCCATTGCTCTGTGGCTTAATCGTTTACGAGCTCGCCTTGTAACCAGAGGGTCCTGAGTTCGAACCCCGGTGAGTGCGTACTGATGAAGAGTCCCAAACTAGAACGAAACAGCTGCCTAGTACTCCCAGGTTTTCTACTGATTGTCTAATCCATGTCGATTCATGATGGAATCCTCCAGCCGATCAAACACAATCCCTATGAACTAATACTTGAACATATAATTATACTCAGCTGATTTTATTTAGCGAAAGTGATACTAAAAACATCTCCCGAACTTTGCCGATTACACACACAATAAGCTCCTAAATAACGTGCAATCATTTCTTTTCTTCAGACACAAACACTGTTACCGTTTGCGACGCTTTTGTGTTATTAGTGAGCAACTTCACCTAGGTAATTTAGTAAGCATCTCCCTTTTGAAGCATAAAACCTATAATATACATTCATTTTTCAATGATAAAATACTTTTCCATACTGTTTCTAATATCTGACTTGACGATTGGTTGTATAATACAAGCACGGTAGTTTGATTTCCCTTATCCCCCACAAAAACGAGCACATGCAGAGTTACATGACCATAGGAAACAAAAAGCACTGATGTTGTTTAGTGAATGGTGACTAGGACGGGAATCCAGGATACACCTTCCGTCCTATTCGGCACTTGTTAACTAGATGTAACTGCAACTCCCAGTGAGTGGTACTGATCGCATTGAGTATCGAATTCAGTAGCCTTTGTTGAAAACACCAAAACGCTATCCATTAAACCCCACTTAATGATTGTTAACCAGCTGTTCATTTCATCTTCCATCACTAGTCATCATTTAATATCTGTTTTCAACAAGGAACTTTGCACCGATAGGTGTTACCTTAACGTGGTGGTCGAGCTCGAATATCACAAAGTCCAACAGGCTACACTGGCTGAAACTATTGTTCCTCCAGGTCCAAGAGTACCAGGAAGACTGTTAGGATAGCGACTAGACTAAGAGCAGTTGCTGGCATAGTGCAAGAATTTTTTTACACCATGCTGGGATTCTGTGGGAGAAGTCGTACTGCTGGGGAACAGGAATGTAACAGCAGTGAGGTGTTGCCCTCAGATGACCAGCTTGCCAGCCAGCTACGATGTCTCTCCACTCTGGAGAGAGGGGTTAGAAAAGGTCGGCTCCAACAATTACACATCCCGACTTACCCTACGGTGGTCCGTATCCAGCGGTAATTTTACTAATACGGAACCAATCGAGGAAACCAGTTTATACAGGCCGTGTGTGACCGGCAGTTGTCCCCTGGGCTCTGCGATCACGCAACACTAACCCTCTTTCTATTTCGGGTACCCAAAAAATCAACCAACTTCCATGGTGTGGGCAGCCGGGAAGTAACAACCGTCCATACACTTCCGTCACTTTAATAAATTATTGTTTAGAAAAAATCATACTACTTATTATCCAGTGTTTTTAATTAGCCAGTATGAGAAACCTTATATTATCTTTCGATATAAAAAAGTATTACTATTGTGCAAAATAAGTTTCAACTACACAAATTAATAAACTTTCCAAAAATGTACACGTCTATTTTTTCCATCCACAGTTGCACTAACATCTAGTAATCGTAATAATAATAACAATAATCAAAAATCGCAAGTTTTATCATATGAAAGCAAAGAAAGAACGGTGAGGGTTACCCCTACAAATACATTCCTTAACCGTAACACCAAATAACGCTATATTAGAAATGTTTGAAATAATGTTGCAGTAGGACAATTATATGGAAAGTAAAACCGAACACAACAGATGATTACTGACAAAACATAACTCGATACTATGACTTAGAGCAATCCTCACACAGTTGAGATTCACCAGTTCATAAACGCAACTAACTAATTAAGGAATTCAAACTCACTCAATACAAACAGAAAAATGGTCACCTAGTTATTATTATTATTGCTCCCTTGGGTTCCTAGTGGAACATAGGGCTTCAACTGCACGTCTCCACT